CCATCTGTGCAGAAAAAGCGTGTGTACTCAGATTTCATTGACAGTACTCAGGGCAATGGCCACAGGAAAGTTTTGGAGATTCTGCAGGTGAGGCAGAAGATTCAAGTCTGACCCTAACAGAGCTTGTGCTCTGGGTGGGTTTCAGTTTTACCCACCACTTTCCCTATGGTTGCATCTGCTAGCATGGACAAACGGAGTGGGTTAGTTAGGACAGGGTCTTAGAGCACATGGGGTGGGAACAGTGCACACCTCCACCGAGCACAGTCAGTGGGAATGGTGCACGCCTCCATCGAGCACACGCGGTGGAAACAGTGCAAACACAGTGGTGAGAACCACCTCCACCAAGCACATGTGGTGGGAATGGTGTACATGAGGTAATGAGGAGCACCTCCACTGGTGCACACGTGGTGAGTACCACCTCCATGTGGTGGGAATGGTAAACTTTCCTACCTGAGGTGACTTTGAACCACAATCCTCAGATCTCAGCCTCTTGAGCCACTAAGATTACAGGTGTGAGCCTCCAGTGCCTGGTCAAAATTCATTTTTATTCTTCTTTGTTCTTGTTGGTTTTGGATATACCAGGTTTTGCATTCAGGCTGGGGCTTGCTAGCCAGCTCCAAACCCTCTAAACATTGATTTATTTTCTACTGACACGTGTCCATGAGGCTTAAATGGATACGTGGGTTCAACCGTCCTATGTTTGTTGAACTGACATAGATTATTGGGTATAAGAATAATTCCCCATGATTTTGGTTTTTTTATTCATTATTTTTCTCTTCCTTTTTCCTTGTTTTTTTTTCTTGGTTTTCATTATATCATTTAATTTTTTTCCGCTCCTGTTTTCTCCTTTGTATGTATCTTTCTTTCCTTTTTTTGTTGGTCGTGGGGCTTGAAGTTGGGGCCTTGTGTCCTGTCCCTGAGCTCTTCAGCTCAAGGCTAGCACTCTACCCCTTTGAGCCACAGTGCCACTTCTGGTTTTCTGGTGCCTTTTTGGAGATAAGAGTCTCACGGTCTTTCCTGCCTGGGCTGGTTTTGAACTGCAGCCATCAGATCTCAACCTGCTGAGTAGCTAGGATTATGTGTGAGCTACCAGTGCCCAGCTTTTTATATGTATCTTAAAGTAAAATACATAGCTGATTTGTGGCATACCTCAAGAAGAAATTGGGTTTTGGTTCTTGTGATGGAATACGCTTGTTTGTGGAATTTTAATTATCCAATCACTACGTGAATGGTTGGAACTGGATCAGTGGGTTAGGGAGAGTTTGTTGTGCTAAGGGTTTTAAAAAGTTTGATTCTCCCTGCAGGCCTGTTAAGTTCACTGGAAATCTTAGTTTTGTTCAGGAAAGTCAGCTTAGACCATACTAAAGGATTTATCCCAAAAGGAATCTATCTTTACGTATCTTTATGCAGAAACATTTCCTTCAGTCATTTTTACTTAAAAGACAAAACTTATTTTTAGGGATTCTCACAATCTGGATGTTACACGCATGCTTTTAATAGTTGTCTATATCTTTAGAACCAAATCCATTACTAAAATAATGTTTTGAGAATCCAGTATTGGTCCTGATCCTTCCTAGTCTTCATTGACTAAAGCAATTTTGAAGGTGCTCAATCTTCTCTGAAATTCTTTTTTTTTTTTTGGTAAATAGAGTATACAAGAACAGTCTGGTATCAGCTGTGTAGTCTAATCAGTGGTATAGGGTATGACCTGAGTTGTTGCTGGTGTCCCATGTTGAGGGCTGGGACCTGCATTACTAGTTCTGGGTGGACCAGTAGCCACCCAAGCTGGGTGCTACTCCAATTGCTCAGTACCTGTGCCTGGTCAATTAGGAGTATTCTGATTATTATCTATGCTTACCTTCATGAATAGTATTATTACCTTACTAAGTATGTCTATAATCTTTTTAGTTACATCCTTTGGGATAAGTAGAAATCCTTCGCTACAGACAAAAAAAAAATAAAGAGCCCAAATATAATTTTGCAAGCACTTTAGTAATTAAAATATATTCTATATTTGATGGAACTAAGGCTGTGGTCTGGAAGAAAGGAAAATGACTCGATATAATTTTTAAAATTATGATTAAATATTATTAAATATTTTAAATATTATTAAATAAAAATTATTATTAAATAGGTTTATACAAAGTTAGGTTCTGAGCACGATGCTTCTGGGTCGTGTCAGCTTCCTTCGATTTCACCCGTTTCCCTCCTGTTACCACCCTCAGCAGCCTTTCAGCATAGCTACCCGGCAGTGCAGGTATCTGGACCGAGCCACTGGCCTTCCATATCACTAGGAGCTCATCTGTGAGGACTACAGATTTATTAGGGTTTGAGAATACATACTTGCCCACATATTTATTGCACATATCAAACATTTAAAAAAAAAACTTTCGTTGTAGGACATGGGTGTGGACTGAGTGGAGACAGATCCATGCTGCGGTCAGGGACTTTGTCATTTTGGGGCAGGTGTAGAATGAGCAACCAGTGGATGTACTAGGAGGTGGATACTGTTCCCTAGTCGCCCTAGCTTTATAGAGAAGGTGATAGCTGACTAGCAACTTAAATGAGGCGAGAGGATTTGCCAAAGTGGCAGGGGTGAGGAATTAGGTGTCAAGAGGAACAAAGGGTAGCACGGAGCAAGTGCCAGGAGCTCAGAGCAGTGGCAGTGCCAGCTCCTCTCTGAGGATGCGGGAGGAGCAGCAGCCCAAGAGAACCCTGTGGGTTCAAGGACGGGAGAGGGGAATGGTGCTGGAGGTCAAGTGCAGTCAGGGAGTCTGCACCGTCTTTGCCTTGGGCTCTTAGGGAAAGCGTTCAGTGCCTTTGCTGATTAGTAGTGGTGAGTGAGGAAGAACACAGACAGGAACTCGGAAGGGAGTGGGAGGAGAGGCAGTGTGCGCTGTGGTTTGATGTTTGTCTGCGAGGACAGACAGAGAGCCTTGGAGAGAGGAAGAAGAAGGCACAGCCAGGGCAAGGCCTCCTCTGTGCTGCCACTGCTTCACCCTGAAGGTGTGTTGGCATGTTTGAAGACCGAGAGGTGCTGGACAAATCAGGTATGCATGCCAGGGGAGAAAGGAAAGGAAGGTCTGGGAGGGAGGGAGTCTAGGTGGACACTGGGGAACTCGAAGGTGGGCAAGAGGAGGGAGAATCCAGAGACCAAGAAGAAAGAAGCAGAAGAACAGATGAAGGATGAATGGGAAGCTCAAGAACTCCACGCCCAAGGGTGATGGATGATTTTGAGTGAGACATATTGTGATGGATACTGAAAACTGGAATAACGTGGCAGAGGATGGATTGAGATGAGGAAGAGTTAGATAGGGTGCGGTGTGGAAGAAAGAGGGAGCTGTCAGGCAGGAGAGACCTTGGGTTGGGGCCTGGGCCAGCAGTTGTTGGTCGAGGCAGAGGCCTCCAGGCATGCTTTCTGGGGTGCGTGAGTGCTCTCGGGCATAGCTGGTATGGTAGTGTTTGTGCACACATTTTTGTACATGAGAGGTCACCGCAGACCTGGTGTTGTAGTCGATCATTTACTGTGTCAGTGTTCTGGGACTGTGTTCTTCTCCATGCCAGGTAGTGATGCTGCTGAGTTGAGCAGAGCCTTTCTGCTTGTAAGACACTCAATCTGGTGGGTCAGACAAGGCAGGGAGCAAAACGCTGTGCCAGACATGAGGTGCCACACGATTTAGAGGAGGCCATGCAAACACGCCAGCAGGGAGAGAGGAAGTGGCACCCTGAGGCTTCTAGGAGGAAGTGACTGCTCAGCTGGTGCTACAGGAGGCGGATGGTGGCCGGTGAGGCACTCACATTTTTGCCGGGAAGGACTCGAGAGAGTAGTGATATGAACGTGGTTGTGGTCGGGATGTGAAGATGCTGAGGACTTCTGGGTGCAGAGCAAGTATTTGGGAGTGTGGACACACTCAGCTTTTGGTGTGGCATGGGCTGACTTTTGTTTTTGTATGCTTAAGCATTAGGCCCAAAAACCTTACTGGAATCAGCCTTACTGTGAACACGGGTGTGGTTGGGTCTGGCCTCAGAGGCTGGAGTCCAGTTAGAGTAGTAGTTGACCAGTAGTTTTGGGAAGTGGGATTCCTCGGGGTGCCCCCCTTCCCCGATAGTGCTAAGAGTTATGGTAATACTTTTAGAGAGGTTTAAATTCTGCCAGGTATTTGCTCTCTGGTGCGCACGTGGCCCTGAGCTGCATCCTGCTCTCCATGGTCTTCAGTGTGCCGTCTCGGTCAGGCAGTTTGGCCAGCAAGGCCCTGGTGCCCCAAAGCCTGGCTGTGTTTCCTGGCCCCTCCTCTGTGGGACGGGAAACTTTGTTTCTGGAACTGTTTTCTTCCTTGGCCACGTTCAAAAGGACAAAACCAAAACGTTTTGTTTCTTTAAGTGGTACGATCTTGGAGGGTGGAAAGAGAAAGGAAGGTATTGAAGGGGAGACCTGGGCTGGGTGTGGGGTGGTACCCCTCCCCCACCTCTGGGCTGGGGCCCCGGGCCCTGGGCCCCACAGGCCCTCAGCCCCTCTGGACTGTTCTTTCCAAGGGCATCCTCTCCCAAACCAGAACACTCACTTCACCCTGAACGTCCCGCCATGGAACCACTCTCTCCCCTGAGGTTGACTTCATCATTGCCAGACACACTGACAACACAGCTCTCCTTATTTTGCCCACATGACCTCAGCTTCTGCTTTAAAAACGCTGGAATAAAGGATGCTTTTGTTCATATCTCGCCTAACCGTGACATATTGACAAAGTGTCTGCCGGCTGAATGGAATAGTTTTACAGTGTGAGCGCTGCTGCCTTCCGTGGGGTGGGGGGGGGGGGGGGGCAGGCCAGCTCGGGAGGAAGTGAACTGGATAGGTCAGGAGAATGTACCATTCCCGAGCACCCCTGTGCCTTTTATTCACGTGTCAGGACAGGAGCCGGCTGCTGCCTGCTGTCCCCGCCCAGAGCCACAGGGAAGGAAGGCCATCTGCAAGTCGGCTGCAGTCTCCAGCCTGGCTTTTTACTCCCTGGGGTGGGACTTGTGTGGGACTTGTGTCGGGAGCTAACGGACATGGTTTAGTCCACTAACTGCATGTTGGGTAAATTCAAAACCCACATGCTCGTCCTCTTGCAGTGGAATAAGTCACATCTGATGGACATTTTCTGTGCTTATGGCATAGTAATGAACGTCTGACAGGCGCGACCTTTCATAAGACAGCCCACACTATTGGCTTCCTGCCCAGAATATTGCTGCAACACTCTCTGTGATTGGTTATCTCTGAATCATGCATTGCTTCACAAGGGGAAACGGCCCCTTTCCTTAATAAATCTACCATGGCTGGCTGCAATATGCCACACTGTAAGTACCGTGTGTGTGTATGTGTGTGTGTGTGTGTGTGTGGACAGAGAGAGAGAAGGAGAGGGGAGGGTGGACGAGCTGCAATATGCTCACTGTAAGTATTGTGAGAGAGCGAGCCAGCTAGGCTGACTTTGAGTGTGACTCGGTCTGTGTCCCGTGTGGCGTGGTGATGATTCTGTGGGGAATGAAGTGCTGCCTAGTAAATGCTGTCTCTCTCTTCTACAGGTTGGTACTAGAAGTGCCTTTCCTGACGTCTGTGCTGCTTGGAGCCGCTTCTAGAGCAGCCTCTGCTTTTGCCTTGCTCGCTGCCGGCTGGCGGGGACGACCGCCATCTCCCTCCGCCCCCGCCCAGACACCCCATTTCTACTAGAACTGAGAGACGCACGCTGAGTCGCTGCCATTGCCCTAGGCTGCTTTAGTTGTAAAAGAAAAGTTTGCTGAACGAGTAAGATCTCTTCTGCCAGGAAAATCAAGGAGGAGGAAAAAACAAAATATTCTCTTGATTTCGCTCTAAACTGCTGCATCTATCTATGCCAAACTAATCAATAGCGATTGCACCACCAACTCCATTGCAAATTCAGCTGTGATGAGATTTCTGTTCAGACAGCTTTGCTGAAGGCAGCTTGGAAATTCGGTGTCAAAGGGTCTGCCACGTTTTCATGCTTGCACTCTGGGCTCAAAATTGGCACTGGGAAGGGGTTACGGAAAGCCCACGGCTGAGACCAGGCCTTGCTTTTAAACTTTCATCCACTTTCATTTGTAGAAGTTCTTTAAAGTCCCAAACCTCTCTGAATGAACAGTTTTGTGCTGTGAATTTCTGGCGGGAGGCCTTGCCGCTGGTGGTGGCAACACGGTTTTCCATGTACTTTTAAAGCAGGGAGTGCGGCAGAAATATTTTGGAGGGGACATTTGCATCATCATTTTACAGTTTTATTGGATCTTTTTTTTTTTTTTGGTGGTTGTTGCTGTTTTTTTGGGGGGGAGGATAGGGTTGGATTTGTTGGTTTCACTGAAAAAAATTTAACTACCTGTAAAGTCTAAACATGGCTGTGAGTGTCACGCCAATCCGGGACACAAAATGGCTAACACTGGAAGTGTGTAGGGAGTTTCAAAGGGGGACTTGCTCACGGCCAGACACGGAATGTAAATTTGCACACCCTTCGAAAAGCTGCCAAGTTGAAAATGGACGCGTAATCGCCTGCTTTGATTCATTGAAAGTGAGTAAAATATTATATTCTTTTAAGGATTTATAATAACTGAATAAAGGGGATATGGAAATATTTCTGTGAATTTGGCCTTGTAGGTTGCATGTGGATGGCTTAGTTTTGTGGTGTGTTTTTATTGATAATGTTGGGCTGTCTGGGAAGGGAAAGAAACATTGGCCAGACTTCATTAAGAATAACGTCCCTTAACTCCGTGATTTGTCCTAGAGCAGAAATTGTTGGTGTACTTTTCACTTAGTTTAGGAATAGCAGAGTCAGCGTCCTTGTTTGGGAGTGGTTTGTATGTGTGTGTGTGTGTGTGTGTGTGTGTGTGTGTGTGTGTGTGTATGTGTGTAAAAGGCTGTGGCAGAGGTGGAAGGAGGAGGATCTGTCTCTGTTGATAAAGGTGTTGTATTGTTTTAAAGAACAGAGGCTCTTAAGTCAGCTAATCCTGAGTTGACCTTTCACTGTTGTTAATATTTTGGATTTTCTTTCTAATTTATGGGCATTTTATAGGAGTGGTGAATGCTGTGCACTTTGGAGAAACTATAACCATGGGTGGGGCTCTGAACTCCTGCTGCCCTGCCCTGGTTAAAGCACAAACTTTGCCAAATATGAGTTTTATTAATAAGTAGAAACTCTTAAGTACGATTATTCATTGGAGTTTCTGGTTTTGTGTGAGGAAATAGCAGTTAATGTTCTATTAGAACCTGCTTAATTTTTATTTGTAATAGTCTAGGCAGAAGTGTCTCCTGTCAGATTTTGTAATATTTACTTGAGCCTTTCTTGACACTTAAACGTGTCATTGGATTTGAAATCCAGGGATTGAGTTTGAGAATGGGACTTTGAACAAGCGGCATGCATGCCTTTGTGTTGACATGGAAGGTCAAAACTAGAGATGTGTTTTGGGGCACCCTCACAACCAGTTGGATTACTCCACTTGCTTTGGAATGCCTGTGCTTGGGTCAGTTCTTTGGACTTTAAAGGTGAGATATTTTGATAGGAGAAAGTGTGGAAGGTCCGTCCTGTCTTAAAAAAACGAAAGCCAAGCCCAGTGAGATGCTGGTAACGCTCTCTCCGACTACGCCCAGAGAGTGTTACGAGTTAACCATTTCCACCAAGGTTTTTCCTGGTGCGCCGCATTGGGTTGTTCACTTTTTCAAAGTTTTGCCAAAAATCCCAGGATGTCTTTATAGCTAGATAGAATGCAGCCATTGACCCCAGCTGTACCTTGGGATGTTTGTCATGAAATAGTCCTAAAATCCACGGAGAGGGAGAAGCCATGGACCCTGGGCCCTCCTCTTCCTCTGGGAGCCACTGAGGAAGGGCACTGTGCCCCTACCTTTGGGAATATATACTCCCACATTCGCCCTGCCCCAATGCAGGTGTAATTAGAGACAGGAACCTATCAAACCAGGGCCAAGGCCTAATCGTTCTTGTCGGTAACCAGCTGTGTCTGTCCATAAGTAAACCTGTTTTGACCCAATTACTATAAATCCAATTTGACTCCAGGGGCAGTGGCACTGAGCCCTCGCCGGAGGCCTGCCCCTCACACTTGAACGTTAACCTTCAGTTGCTATTTTCCGTCACCAAATTTTTTTTGGTTGCTGTTCACTTGTGGCCACAGGACAGTTCCCCTTTCAGCCTGGCAGTATTGCTTAATGACAGGCTGGGTGGTTAAGACATCCAGCCGCCTCATCAAGGAGGGTTTTAACTAACAAATAATGTCAAGACTGTAAATTTATTTATGAAATGAGCTCCTGAGAGCAGCACACAGTACAGGCTTTGTCCATTTTCTTTGACTTCCTAAGAGAAACGGATATTTATAGCGTGTAAAGCTTGGTCAAATATATTGGGGTTTGAATAAGAAGAAAAAATAAACACAGGTTTGTTTATTTATAAGGGAGTTTCATACCCCGAACAATAGCTCCTTAAATGTTAGGAAAGTAACCATGTCGAGAATTAATGGAAACAATTCTGAAAATGCAATTAAGTATTTATTTCAAAACCCAGGTCTCCTAATCTAACTGACTTATTATATGACTCTTTCCACAGTATTTAGGCTTTTACCTTTTAGATAGTAGTTCTTCTGTGTCCACCTTTGTAGCTGAGTAGGATCAGAAAGGCAGTTTAAACAGTTAAAGCAACTGCATGACTCATGCTTGAAGTTCTGAAATTTGGAGCGTTCTGAGGTTTCCCTGCCAGTAACGGCCACATTGTCTTGGGAGGGTAAACGGAAGGAATTTAGAAAACTTTCAATATCCTGGCTTCTTTAATGAAATGTGTCCTGTGTCTCACTAAAATTCATAGGCCAGCGTTCTCGGAGGTCCTGAGCCATGAGATAGAGGTAGCTCGTGTAGTCTGCTATTTTTAGAAAGTTAGAAAAGCAGAGCAAACATCCTCCGAGTGGACTGTGGAATGGCCAGGCCTGGCCAGGCCGGGCCGGGCCGGGCCGGGCTGCGCTGGGCACTGCTGCAGACCTTGGCTCTGCCCCAGGTGGCTTGGGTTTGCAGCAGACTTTTAGTCAGGGATGGGGGTGGGGAGAATCCATTTCAGTAGGAAAACACAGGTTAAACATTACAAGGAAGTATTTATTTATCTAAGGGAGATCAGTAGAATATTACTAAAGATAATAGAAAATTAACCAACAATGTTTTAGTTGCATGTGGCTATTTTAAGGTTTTAAATAGGTTAAATATATGGCAGGAAAACATGTAATTCTATATCACAATAAAAGTACTGCTCAGAATTACGTGATTATGTAGTTGGAATATATGTATATAGTAGGTTCTCAGAGTTGAAAGACAGTAAGAGCTAAGTCCAGTAATAGGTAAGCCGCATATCCTGAGCAATATTTAACCACTTCATTTCTTTTTTACTCTTTCAGTTTTATTTGCAATAATCTGAGTGTATTCCATCTGAGACTTTTACGTGCTTACAAACTATAGATGTGGGTGTATTGTCTACTTCAGAAATCCAGAATGCTTGAGAAGGTGCATCATATTCTGCTGAAGACAATTTTTCCCCCTTATGATTTATGAGATACCAGAAATTAAAGGAAACTTCCACAGAGCCACCACCAGAAGGGGGTTGTTCGTTACAGTTCAGAAATGCTATTTCAACAGTAGCGAATGACAAGTTGCCTATTTTCTATAATCATGATCTCTCAATTTCTAAATTTAAAAAAGTTTATATGCAGAGAGCTAGCCTACAGGATACATTTTAATATGATTCTGGGCTGTTCACATTCTTGAAAGCTAAGCTTTCACTTATGACCCACAGATAGAAGATCATGGAAAGTGGACTTAGTGTTTACCAAATTTTCCTTCAGGCCTCCAGTCCACCTTGCAGATGCCGAGGGGAGGGAAAGCTGGAGCCTTACATTTGCTAGCCGTTCACAGAATATTGGTAAAACCTTTGGAAATGCTACCTTCCTATTCTCTTATCAGATTGACAGTTTCAAGAGAATGGAACTTTCTTTCGCTATTGTCATGTTCAGGTATCTTTAGCTCTGCTAATGAGATTTATCTTAGGCATATCAGAGATCTGTGGTCTGGGTTGGAACCAAGTTTCAGTGTGCACAGACACAGGACCACATCACGGAATGAGGAGCAGGGGTGGGAGGCCGGGAGCAGCTGGACGGCCTGGTAAAGGGGCTGTCCTGGCTGGGTGGGAGCCTGGGGAAAATTCAGGCAGGAGAAAGCATGTCAAAAAAATATACAAAGAGTGAACCACTGAAGACTCAAAGTTGGTCATGTGGAGAGTAGACAGCACAGACAGACGTCAAACGCGCTCCAGAGAGTTTCCAGTGAGTTCTATAGGACTGTCCTCCCCAGCACTGGGAGGCTTCAGCCTCTGTTGGTGATCTTCTTTCTAGGCCACCAACAAATTCTTACATTTTTGAAAGAACTGTAACTCAAACACCTGATAAAAAGTTGTGCACATGGAACAGGCTGAACAACCAATTTTGAACTAAGATTTTACTCTAGCAGGTTCTCCTGTTTATTGTCAGTGGATTCTCTTCTGGTATTAGAACTCCTTGGATAGGGTTATTACACCATCATCATGGGCATGCTGAAGCCATGAACACTGAGTGTGCCACGCTGACAAGTGACAGCTCTGTGTTCTCACTGTGAATACCGAGTGTGCACATGCTGATGGGTGACACCCAGCTCTGTGTTCTCACCATGAACACTGAATGTGCCCACGCTGACGGGTGACACGCGGCTCTGGGTTCTCATAGAATACCGGTGGAAAGGTGCCTTGAGGCATAGTGAGTTCACCTTGTTTTCCCTCAGCAGAAAACGTTACAACTTTGTGGAGTTCTTTGTGAATATGCTACAGTAGTTATCCAGTTGATATGAACTTTTCTTTAGAGAACATTCCCATGCTGGTGTCTGCTTTAAAAAAATAAACTAGTAGCTATCTGTATTCATTTGCCTGTTGATATTCTTTATGTCTTTAGGGGAATACACATATGCACACACAAACACACACATTTGGCAGTAGTGAGGTTTGAACTCTGGGCCTTGCACTAAGTAGTAAGCAAGTTACCACTTGAGCCACACTTGGGCGGTATTTTAACTGTAGTTATTTTACAGATAGGGTGTAAATCTGTGGCTGACATCCAACCCCTGATCTACAGGTGTTTCCCACCTAACTGATGTAATAGCTTGTTTTTGAGATGAGGTCTTGTGAGCTTTTGCTCTGACTGGCAGGGGATACAGGCTCGCCTTCGGCTGTGATCATCTCTGCCTCCTAGGCAGCTGATTAAATGGATAATTTTTTTTTAACTAAAGAACAAACAAAATTCAAGATATGTTCTGAACTGACCTGCTTAGGACAGTAATTCTAGAGCTATCTTGTTTCTATTCATGATATCTTGGTGCCCTGTTTCTCCTTTATTTTTTTCTCTTTAAAATTTTCTTTGTGTGTGAATGTGACAAAAAGCTATTCAGGCCCAAGGCAATGTGATGCTTAAACAATTACGTTCAAAGTGTAGTTCTAAGTCATAC